GTCTAAACTACAGTGCACAAAAAAACATTTAAACGGTAAAATACTACTTTAAACATTGACAAATACCTAAAGTTATCAATCTGTGTATAAAAGATTAATTTAATAGAATCAATTAGTGTATCGAGATTAAGTTTCAAGGGAGTAGGCCTATTCTATTCTTATGGAGAACATTTTACCTTATATCTAATTTTGTGTTAAGATTTTGGGAATTTCACTATTCTTCCCGCCGTCACGGGATCGAGACCTTTAATTTGAGCCCTCTCCCGTCATTCAACGATTTCCCAGTCACCCACAATTTTGACGCAAAGAATCAGCTTACGTAATTAATATATAGATAGAAGATAGATAGAAGATAAGGTAGATATTCCATCCAAACGAATAAGCTGTAGCCAAAATTGTATCAATCACAACGTAGTAAACACACTTTCTCATTAAGTGTGCTAATATCAAAACTACATCCTCAAAGAGTGTTTATAGTTTAATAATTGCGCTGATGATGCTTAAGTTTACATTAGGCTGTAATATAAGTTAAAAAAAATTATGTTCTCTATGGTTACAGATTCTGGTCTCTTGGCAGCCATATACACAACTGACCTAGCCAAAATGAACAAGATTTAGAACGGGGGTAGCTTAAAACTTGCAGATACTTATACTTTAAAATTGATAAAATTTATACTAGTTTATTGCAGTTAAAACTACTTCCGTTGTATGTTTAGAAGTCGGTCAGAGTTTAGCGTGCAGCTTGGAAGATATTGATTAGCTTAGTTCGTGTGGAGCCATCGACCAGTACAGTAACTAGCGCGGCGTCTGGCTCAAGTATCATACATCTCATTGATTTGTCCAGTAACTAGCGCAGCGTCTGGCTCAAGTATCATACATCTCATTGATTTGTCCAGTAACTAGCGCGGCGTCAGGCTCAAGTATCACTCATCTCATTGATTTGTCCAGTAACTAGCGCGGCGTCTGACTCAAGTATCATACATCTCATTGATTTGTCCAGTAACTAGCGCGGCGTCTGGCTCAAGTATCATACATCTCATTGATTTGTCCAGTAACTAGCGCAGCGTCTGACTCAAGTATCATACCTCTCATTGATTTGTCCAGTAACTAGCGCAGCGTCTGGCTCAAGTATAATACATCTCATTGATTTGTCCAGTAACTAGTTTGGTGTCTGGCTAAAGTATTACACATCTCATTGATTTTTACAGTAACTAGTCCGATGTCTGGCTCAAGTATTACACATCTAATTGATCTCTGGCTTAAGTATCATATATCTTATTGGCGTGTACAATAATTAGTGCAGTGTCTCCGGTATCGAATTTTTGATTGATTGTTTGAAACACATTGTTTAAGAAGTCACTAAGATTGGTAAATGCTATTCAGTATTTTGAAAATTATTTTAAATTTAAATTTGGTGGTGGATGTGGTATTTGGCTTCCCTTATATAGAATTACGAAAACTGTGTGGATAATGTTGTGTTATTTCAAGACAGGTTTTTTTTACTGTTTCTAATATGGTTGTTCAATAGCTATTCAAGAAAATATTGACTGGGTCGTAAAATGATTATAATTTCTGCCTTAAAATCTGAAGTTCGCTGGAATAATTCCAAGCATGATCGATTCTACACCTAGGTATCATTTTAGTCCAGGCGCTAAACGGGTTGAGTATGCACTGAAAGTCTGACAAAATTTGACTTTTGATTATTGTTGGGGACATCTAGTAGATGAAAAAAATCGATGATGTCGCATTTCTAGGGTGGTCACAACTCGGGGGGGAGGGGGGGAAGTTGCGCGGGTCATCGGTTTACGTTTCCGCGTCTAACTCTCAAACGGTTAATGATAGAAAGGTGAATTAAGCGTCTATCTACGCCTAAATATACTGTATTTTAAAAAGGTTATTACAACCTTTCTTCTATCTCTTATACTTTAGGCGCTAATCAACATTTATTGCAAAAAATAAAATTTAAATATAATTTAAAATGAAATATTGGAAATATTGCGCTTGTTTAGGGCATGTTACAAACTATTTATGGTTAGAAAAACTAACAAGTAGTACAAAAGCACCAAGTTTAAAAAAAATCTGTGCAAAAACAACAGAGCTACGTTGATTTCAGTAAGAGTAAACGTGGAAAATTCGTAGTAGTATCGAGGCGCGCATGGATGGTACGTAGCCCACAGTCAATATAGGTTTGATGTTGTAAGTAACTATGGGAAAGCTGAATTTTTCTATGCTGTTAGACCATGTTGAGATGAGCATTTTCCCAAAAGTCCCCACTCCTACCCCTTTGTGCTTTCCTCTACCCCCCCCTTTAAGATCAATTTACAGTCACTTCGAAATTAAGCTATAACTTTAAAACGGGTAAGGATAATAACGCAATCTTTTATTAATCATTTTGCGTTTCGATATTATACAAAAAGTGTATTTACCATGGTATCCTAAATATTCATAGCTAAAAATATCATAAACATAAAAAAATAATTTTTACGGATTAATTTATGAAACTTTTCTTTGTAGATTTTTTATACGAGGTCGCACAACAAAACGTTTGATACCAAATTTGGGGTGCATAGTTTACATTTTAAAATGATACATAGTTATTAACAGTTTGTTTGCATATAGTGGTTATAGATAGTACAGTATATTGATTTTACAGGACTCTGGCTTTTTTGTGCACCGCAACAATGAAAAAAATTACGTATATTTTGGTTTTTGTATTTGAATTTGCCGCTTTATATAGATTATATTAACGTTATGTAGCTCATTCAGTACACATACAGACTGTAGTGTATACATATGAATGAATGTCAAGCATTTGCTGCTGTACGCCAGAGCCTCATTTTATTATACAGGGTGTCTTACCTAAAGTAAACCAATAGATAACTTTTTTATTATGAGATATAGAGTTAACTTCATATGGGACACTACCCTTTATTTTAAGATGTTTTTTTAGTGGTTTCGAATTTTAAAAATATGTTCGCCATTTTCCAGTATGGCTGACAACTTTGTTAGTCCTATGGAATACCCTGTATTTTATGATTGTTTTAGAATGTAAACGCACAATTTTTAAACCTTTTTATTCTTGACATTTTTCTCTGAAGCTACTTGTTTAGGAGTTACATCGTGTTACATCGAAGAAGAAATGGTTTGTGAGTACATCCTGCATCCTGTAGCTCATAAACGAGTAAGTTTAAGAGCGAAAATACAAAGAATAAACAAGTTTTCAAATCATATCTACATTTAAAAAAAAACCATAAAATAAATTGTTCCAATTTCAAAGTAAGCTACCATTTTTGAAAATGGTGGCAATTTTTAAAACAACAAAATCAGTATTTTTTAACGTATTTTATATATTTTTTTGAACGAGGACTTATATGTGACTTATTTATTCTTTGTACTTTCTCTCTCAACTTACTCGTTTATGAGCTACAGGATGCCGAATGTACACCACAAGCCTTTCTTTTAGATATAACGCGCTGTAACTCCTAAATGGGGTAGGTGTTTAGAGAAAAAATGTCACGAATAAAAACGTTTTAAAATAGCTTTTAAATTCTAAAAGAATACTAAAATACAGCGTATTCCATAATGAATAACAAAGTTGTTGGCCATATTGGAAAATGGTGGATATATTTTTTTTTTATTCGTAACCATCCCTAAAAACATTTTTACAAATAAAAGGGGTCGTCTAATAAAAAGTTATCTCTATATGGAAAATCAAATTTATGTATGTTGACTATGTAATCTCAACCGGGATGAAACGTGTACCCTTTTATAGCAGAATGTCCGATTTAAAAAAAGATACGTCAATTTTGGTTTAACAAGTTATATTTAAATGAATATGAGTTTTTTTTTGAATTTTTAAATGGCAAAGATTGGCGGGCACTTGGAAATTATCTTAAAGAGGCGTGGAGTAAAAGGTGGGAACTGATAATGGAGTATAATTATTAAATTTAAGAATTGAGATATCAATACAAAAGTGGAAAAAATCTATGTAATTTTAAAAAATTATAAAATATTGTTTGTTAAGTATCTATCAAAGTAAATTATAAAAGTAACAGGTTTGTTTGATGAATTATTAACTGTTTGTAGGAAAAATTCAGATTCTCAGTAGGATTGCATTATTATCCTTACCCGTTTTAAAGTTATAGCTTAATTTCGAAGAGACTGTAAATTTATCTTAAAGGGGGGAGGGGTAGAGGAAAGCACAAAGGGGTAGGAGCGGGGACTTTTGGGAAAAAGCTCATCTCAACATGGTCTAACAGCATAGAAAAATTCAGCTTTCCCATAGTTACTTACAACATCAAACCTATATTGACTGTGGGCTACGTACCATCCATGCGCGCCTCGATACTACTACGAATTTTCCACGTTTACTCTTACTGAAATCAACGTAGCTCTGTTGTTTTTGCACAGATTTCTTTAAACTTGGTGCTTTTGTACTACTTGTTAGTTTTTCTAACCATAAATAGTTTGTAACATGCCCTAAACAAGCGCAATATTTCCGATATTTCATTTTAAATTATTTTTAAATTTTATTTTTTGCAATAAATGTTGATTAGCGCCTAAAGTATAAGAGATAGAAGAAAGGTTGTAATAACCTTTTTAAAAGACAATATATTTAGGCGTAGATAGACGCTTAATTCACCTTTCTATCATTAACCGTTTGAGAGTTAGACGCGGAAACGTAAACCGATGACCCGCGCAACTTCCCCCCCTCCCCCCCGAGTTGTGACCACCCTAGAAATGCGACATCATCGATTTTTTTCATCTACTAGATGTCCCCAACAATAATCAAAATTCAAATTTTGTCAGACTTTCAGTGCATACTCAACCCGTTTAGCGCCTGGACTATTTTCCATTGGCTAATGTTTCATGGTGCGATCTAGTAAAAGGTTGGAGTTAACAGCAATAATACCATGGTTTGGACCATTTCCTTACAAAAAACTTAAGAAATGCCAGGGACGAAGGTACGTAAACTATCTGACCTCTGTGTGTTTTGGAAGGTGGCGGCAGAACGATGAGGTAATGCTTCAGCGTCATGGCAGAAGATGAAGATGAGGTCAAGAAAGAGCAGACTGCTGCGGAGAAGCTACTGTTCTATATCACAGCCTCGTTCGTCCTGCTCGGGACGTTCAGCCTGTTCGCCTTCTTGTTCCTGGTGCCTTTCGTGATAGAGCCGGCGATCACGACGATCGTGATGGAGTTCTCGGAGACGCCGGCGTTGTGTGTCACATCCGAGATCATCTGGAACCGCGGGGCCTCCAACTGCTCCTGGACCTCCTGTAAGGAGGGCTGCACAAAGGTATTTACAAATTATTAGGTACAAAACAAATATTGTGGCCGTGAGATAAGAAGGGCTACACTCAAGCACCAACCATAAAAAGAAAAAAAAATGAGAACGAAAACAGTGGTACAGTTTTCATCATAATTGCATTAGTACCTCCATATGCAAAACGAGTTTGCTGCTAGATCAGCTAAAAAGAGGGTAGCAAGAAATGGCTCCAAACAGAATAAATATTCTGGAAGCAAGAAAAAGCGATAATGTTTTCAATATACTATTTTTGTTACCTCCACCTCAAAACTAATTTGATTCTAGATGCCCTGTGAGGAGAGTTGTGAGAGTGTGATGTGCAAACGAAAGGTCATGTTATAGAGAAAGTATGCTGTGATAATGTGATGATGTTTTTAGTGAGTAATTCATTTTACTTCCAATTTAAAATTTAGTTTGTTACTGGATATCCTGATAAAGAAGGTACCAAACAAAAACACAAAAATAATAGTAGGGAGAAAGAGTGATAATGGTTTGAATATATTACCGTTGTTACCTTCACCTTCATAACTAGTTTTATCCTGCACATCCTGCAAGGAAGACGTGAAAGTACCAACGTAAACAGCTATAAGGCAGGATCAATGAAGTAATTCGTCAAAAAAAATTTTAAAAATTTAGCCTGGAACAAATAAGATTTTATTGAACTTGTCACATCTTAGGATTTGTACGTCCGGATGGTTAAGAAATGAAATTTATATTAAAATGTATGCTTGCCAATTCTATCCTAATACTTCTCAAACCCCCGCTTTAAATTGGCTAAAGCTAAAAGATCCATTTATTTCGCGGGCTTTGGCAGACGCTGCATCGAGTTGGTCTTATATGAACATAAACATACTTTATTTAAGACATCACCAAACCATTTATATCGAGTCTTTGCTTTCTCAGTATTTATATGAAATAGTTTTTCAAATGTTATAAACCATAAAAAAAGAAAATCATTCGTAAAGAGTGACCGGAAAGGACCGAACATTTAAAAAATAAACATTATTAATTTGTATTTGTGCTAATTATTACTTTTATAATGTTAAAATATTTGTTAAATGTTGCCATTCAAGAAATACACTACTTTACAAAAATAATTGCTTACATTTTTCGTATGACCATGACTTATTGAAAACCCTGTCAGCCAGGTTAAGTCCATTGTCTTACATGCAGATGTTAATCTTTCCCGTCGTTTTCCATAACACGACTCAGCAACTCATTAGACCATTATTTGATGCCACTTTCTGATGGATTTCGTACTTAAGATCCATCATATAATCCACTAATAATTGTATTTCGTATCGGAAAATGCATTTCATATCATGGGACTTAAGTTGAAAGTGAACTCAAAAATGTCGTTTCGCTGCCGTAATAGACTTGCCAAAGCACATACGCATCAAAAGGAAACATACGGAGTTGTACCGTTCACTGATCCATGGCTTCTAAAATTACAAAAAATAATGACCTAGCTCCCCCTTGCAACAATTACAGTCACGCGTTTACTAGATATTTAAAAACATCCCGTTCCTGTCGGTCACGTTGCTTATAAATGACTGAACATTCCTATTATAATACTTGAAACAAACGTAAGAGAATTAATCCATTTTCAATGTTTTTTTAAATTCAGAGATTAAATTTTCAACTTTAACCAGAAAGCAACCATAGGTATTTATGGTGGATTCATCACTTCCGTCACTTCAACTAACACTTTTATACAAGAAGTGCTGGTCCAAATCCTATCAGTCAGAGGAGGTGTATGATAACGATTCGTTGGATCAGAATCCTAATTAGGTTGCATAATTGACCATTGGATTCAAAGGTTGCATTACCCTTCTAGCAAATCAGAGAGGGGTGTTGTCAGGGAGCTAAACTGTCTCTGAACGAATAATCAGAACCTCTTTCACCACAGCAGAAATCCTTATACTATAATAATACGAAATGTTGAAATCTTGTTCACAAGTGACGTGTTACAGGAGGTGTACGAGTGCACGCAGATCCGGGTAAACTACAAAGTGACCACACCGGAGCCTCTACCCTCCACTGCCCCTCGCCGCGAGGAGAGAGCCATCAGGGAGTACGACTACCCCGACATCTACTCCCCGGTGGATGAGGACCTCCCTCCAGAACCCCCCAGTCCTACGGGACTCATGGGGAACACCTCCGAGTGGTATTACATCGGTGCCAAACTGTTCCCGAACGTCAAGGGCTGCGGGTACCCTCCGTCGCTCAACTGTTCCGTGTGGTACAAGACGCACCTCGGGCTCGGTACGAACTACTCGTGTTACTACAGCCGTATAGACCCGGGGTTGGTCATCAGTGATTTGGACATGAACCAAGTGTATATGAACCTCGTGTACGCCACGGCCATCCCCATACCGTCCTTCATCGTGTCCGTCATCTACTTGACTATAGCTTACTTTTATATATACTACGACGACTCGGACCCCCCTCGTAGGCCCCCGAGAGGAGGGAGAGGAGATCCTGTGGAGGTGACCCCCCTACCTATGTCCACACCCCAGCCACCTCCTACCAGTGGGGCGCTCACCCCGGCGTCGGAGATCTTTAGAGAGGACCTCGCCAGCTTCGGACATCAACTCAAGATCTGCATGGCGGACGACATGAGCAGAGAGAGTATCATACCTGACTCCGTCCCCTTCATCAACTCCAACTCTATGAACGGGTGAGTTTAAACGATTACATACACCAATACCTGATACTGCATTTTTAAAAATCATTTGTTCAAAATCCTTACAAAACTAATACAAAGATTAGTTTTTCGTATATACTTAACATGAAAACATTTTAATTACATCCTGTTTGAAATATGAACAAACAGCTTAACGTACATCAATGTTTCCCGCGAGTAACGTAAGTGGTAACAAATTACACTATGGTAAGACTAACGGCCAAACTTTACTCCAAAAGAATAATGTAAAAAATGCATCTTTACTAGGTATATTAATGCTCCTAGGTGCCTTAAGAGGTAATCCTAAACATAGGTGAAGGTAACGATTAACATCAACTTTCGCTGGTCCAATTGCTTATCAAATCAATCACTTTTAAAAGGAATTAGTTGTAGCACAGATAATATAACCCTACTAGGGTTATATAACCCCTAGTAGGGGTTATATTATCTGTGGTTGTAGCCACATCTTATGCACATCCTAGTACAGAGGGATTTGTATTGCTAAATGTCTATGAATTCAATGTGAAACGCTTTGTACTGTAACTTAATTAACCCAATTCAAAATAACCTAGCCAAGGTTAACCTTCCAAAATACTGAAATCACGTCAAAATAGGTTGCGTAAATAGTAAAACTGGTATTTATAATTATACACCTTAAAAACTTAACCTTAGCTTATGAAAGATACGACAATATTTCCAAGCAATTTATGTGTGAATATAGTGTGTCATTTAAGATAAATAGTTTATAACTTCCAATCATTGTCAAGCATAAATATAGGTTATAAAAGACTAGTGTAAATTGAATGTAGCACAAAGTATAGTCTGAATCTACATAAGGGCATCTAAAAAAGGGCTGTTCAATATTGGTATAAATAAGTATTGCGCTGAATAAAAACATTAGCCCATATTTATTTGTATATAGTTCATACGTTCAATATTTATTGTAAATACACAAATTTACAAATTTCACGATAAGATTTTAACAACAGGTGGAATGATGAGGAAATGGAAAGATTGCCGCTTAAAAGGTGAGTGAGTTATCACAAGCATGCTTAGAAGTGGCAAAACTGTAATGCACTACTCGCTCTCTAAACAATAAACGCTGAGCCACACTGAACACTAAACACTACCAAGCAGACTACTCAGGTGCTATGCTGCACTCTCGCTCTCTAAACAATAAACGCTGAGCCGCACTGAACACTGAACACTACCAAGCAGACTACTCAGGTGCTATGCTGCACTCTCGCTCTCTAAACAATAAACGCTGAGCCGCACTGAACACTGAGCACTACCAAGCAGACTACTCAGGTGCTATGCTGCACTCTCGCTCTCTAAACAATAAACGCTGAGCCGCACTGAACACTGAACACTAAACACTACCAAGCAGACTACTCAGGTGCTATGCTGCTTTTGATAGCCTAGTACAGTAGCACAAAAAAAATAAAATTTCAGGTCCGGCTGATACCTAAATTGTTTTTAAACCCAACAATACTACACCCAGATTGTTTTTAAGTAAAAATATTACGGTTAATTCAATGACTAACTAAAGGGTTGATTATGCTGCCATGTTTGAGAGAGACAAATTGAATTAGGTAGCCTAATTATCAAAAACTTACACTTTTAGGAATAACACATACGAGACAACTGATTTTTCAAATATTTTGTAATTTTTAACAAACTCGGACAAATGATGTGATCCCGAATAAAATTAACACAATTTTTATGAAAGTAAATTTCTTGTAGTTTTACTTAAAAGTTGAACAACCAAACCATTAAAAATTATTACTACGCAAAATTTAAAACAAGAATGAAAAACAAACTTTCAGAAGATGAACCGATTAACTGAGACATGAACAATAAACAGGCCAGTGACCTCTTGCATGCCCAGCAATGTTATAACTTGTACACGCTGGTTAAATATAATTACCATCCCTTAGAGCTGGAAATGCACAACATTGCTGTACATGTGATATCGCATCAGGGTGTACACAGTTTATACAAACTGTTGTGAAGTATGCGAGAGCTTCGGCCAAGTGATCATTTTACAATAATTATTGTAAATAACACTTTTAAAACTGAAATATATATTTTTTTTTAACAAGTATTTATTTACAATCTATTCTATACTAGAATAATAAGTAAATTATATAACCATTTTAACATGGGTTAGTTACACTCCATCAAGTGCACTAACATAAAAAAAAAACTTTTAAAAAGTTGAACTAAAAACGATTTGGAAGTTCTATTGGATTAACTCTTTTGAGCCTATATGTAGCTTCACTATTGTCGAGGAGGTTGACTGCCAGGAAATTTGGATGGGTTTCTAATTTTCTTTGGTATTTTTCACTTCGTTTCTTTATTTCTTCTTTAACATAGGGTAATTTTGTATCTTGATGGATTACTTTATTTGTGACAAACCAAGGTGCTTGTAAAATTTTTCTCAATGTTTTCGATTGAAACCTTTGAACTATTTCTATGTTTGAGTTGTAAGTGGTTCCCCAGAGTTGGATACCGTAGGTCCAAATAGGTTTCAATATAATTTTGTATAAAAGTAATTTATTTTCAACAGATAATTTTGAATTTCGACCAATGAGCCAATTTAGTTTGTTTGTTTTTAAATTTAAATGAAGTCGTTTGTTCCAAATGTGTGAATGCCATGTAAGCCGTCTGTCGAGATGCATACCAAGGTACTTAACTTCGTTGGATTGTGGAAGCATGACATTATTCAATGTTACTGGGGGACAAGTTCTTGTAGACATAGTAAATGTAACTTGAACGGATTTTGTTTCATTTACTTTAATTTTCCAATTCTGTAGCCACTGAGACAAATCGTCTAATGCAGCCTGAAGGTTTGATGATGCCAGAATAGGATCCTGATTTGATGATAAAAAAGCAGTGTCGTCTGCAAATGTTGCAACCGTAATACCCTGAGTACTTGGAAGGTCATAAGTGAACAAAATATACAAAATAGGTCCAAGAACACTGCCTTGTGGTACACCTGATTCAATTTCATGCACATCTGTAACTATATCTTGATATTTAATTTGAAAAAAGCGTTTGGACAAATACGATTTCAACACTCCATAGTATGTATGGGGCAGCAAAGTTTTAATTTTGAACAATAATCCTGTGTGCCAGACTTTATCAAACGCCTGGGCTACGTCCAAAAAAGCAGATGAACAAAAACGTTTATTTTCAAGATCTTCCTTGATTACATTCACTATTCTATGCACTTGCTCAATGGTGGAATGCCTTCGGCGGAATCCAAACTGATGGGAAGGCAACAATTCTTTTTCATCAATTATAATTTGGAGTCTTTTTAAGAAAAGTTTTTCAAAAACTTTAGAAACCACAGGAAGAAGAGATATAGGCCGATACGAGGATGCTTGATTTAAAGGTTTACCAGGTTTCGGAATAACAACAATTTGTGAAACCTTCCACTGTATTGGGAAGTATTCAAGGCGTAAAACTGCATTGAAAAGTACTGTAAGGAAAACTATTCCTTTTCTAGGAAGCTCTTTCAACACTTTACCTGTTATCAGATCATAACCGGGGGCTTTTTTGCCGTTTAAATCGTCTTTTATCACTTTAGCTACTTCAGATGGTGTGAACAATTTTATTGGTAAATCAAGTTGATTTGGAGAATCGAGGAATTCCAAAATTTCTTGCTCAACATTTGAATTAATATTATATGGCTTGAACACTTCCTTGAAGTATGAAGCAAATACATCTGCTTTCTCGATGTTGTTTTTGGCCCAAGAACCGTCTTCTTTTAGAATAGGTGGAATGCAAATTTGTGGACGTTTTAAGTTTTTTGTAACTTTCCAAAGGGAGTAGTCACTAGCTTCAGATGGAGAAAGGTTTGATGTGAAATCTTGAAATCTGTCATTGTTTAATTTAAACAGTAACCTTTTTAGTTGTTGAGTGGCCCTGTTTAGATTTCTTTTATCCGTCTGGTCTCTAGAGTTTTGCCATATTCTACGGAGTCGGCGTTTTTCGGCAATTTTCCTATTAATTTCAATTGGATAGTGTATTCCTGATTTTAAATTATGTTTATTCTGGTCTGGAGTTGCTCTCCAAGCGGAGTCTTGAACTGTTTTGTTGAAATGTTCAACAGCAAGATTCAAATCTTCTTCGCTCTTCAAACACACAGAAATCTTTAAATTTTGATCCATTAATTCACGAAAATAATTCCAATCTGTATTTTTGTTGCATAAATGTGGTGGAATAGGTTTGAATATAACATTTGAAGCGATCGTTAAAATTACAGGTGAGTGGTCTGAGGAAAGGTCCAGAGATTGCTCGATTGTCACACAATCTCGGGATACACCTTTTGTAACAAAAAAATCAAGAAGGTCTGGTATTTTTTGACGATCAGAGGGCCAATATGTCGGTTCGCCTGTCGATAGAGTATCAAGGTTCCGTTCTTGGATTGACTGCAATAGTTGTCGACCCCTAGGAGTTGCCAGACGGGAGCCCCATGTAGGATGTTTGGCATTGTAGTCTCCTCCTGACAAAAATTTACAGCCTAAAGTGCAGAAGAAATCATTAAACTGTTGGCGTGTAATGTTGTGTCTAGGTGGGCAGTAAATAGAACTTATAGTAAGTGGGCCTGTCTCAAACTCCACTACAACAGATGAACTTTGGATGAAATCGAACTGATATTTTGGCAATTCATGGTGCTTGATATGACTTTTAATCAAGATAGCACAACCTCCATGAGCTCTATTGCTAGGATGGTTAGTGTTGTATAGACTGAAATTTGGAATTTTACAAAAGTTTAAATCAGTAAAGTGAGTTTCAGAAATAAGAATAATGTCCAACTTATGTTTAGCAATGAACAGTTTTAATTCTTGGCATCGCTGTACCAAGCCGTTAGCATTCCACAAGGCTATCTTCAAGGTTTTCACCATTAATTGAGCTTTTTAAGAACAGTTGTAAGTAGGTCAAGTAAGGAACCTATTTGTTGAGATTGTTGCATAAACAGTTTTTCAAACCGATCAAAGAATGAAGTTATTGTATTTGTTAACTTTTCTGTGGATGCATCACTAGAAGCATTACTTGGCGTGCGTGCATTCACATTATCAGAACTTGTGCTGGGTTTAGTTTTGTTACTTACTCGTGAGTTGCTAACTGCCTCCGCATACGAAACGTTAGTTTATAAATATGTTAGTTTATTCTGCTGAACTGTTTATTACATTTTTATTGAAACACTAAGAAAATCTTTTTTATAAATTTGAAAAGTTAACCTACTGTGAATAAGAAACGCATAATATACATTAACAATACGTAATTCATTTTATACTTTCAGTAAATTTGTCAACATTTATTATTGCAGGCATTAAAAAAAGTCATATCTAGTCTCAATTGTAATATTTAATACCGATTCTAATGTCTTGATGAACAAATTTTCTCATTTTACAAGATACAGTGAAAAGACCAATGATAGAAGCTGAGTATTATAGTAAAACTATATCCTCCACAGGGTTTATTTAAGTATAGCTTATGAATGTGGCCTAAAAAGCTAAGTACTTTGTGTTCTTAACTACCAAGAAATGTTTAAGATCCAAAGCACTAAATATTTATTACTAATTACAATTATAGAGTTTTCTCAGCCATGGAACGTTTAAGGCTTCTTATTATTAAATGAGACAATTTTATGTTTGGAAGTATCACTTTAAAGATAGAAGCAACGTTTTTTTAAGGTTTAATTAGTGATATCAAACACTGAACATCAAACAATTAGTGATATCAAACATACAGCCTTCACTGAATGCAATAAAGATAACAATCAGATGATTTCTAAATTTTTAATGATTTTTACTGTTCTTAAATCGATTAATGAAAATTAAGAAACAAGTTTGATCTATTTAAGGAGCACAGTATCTTCAACTTCAAGTATCAAGTAATACTTCAAAGAAAATCCAATTTTGTATAATAGCTTGTGGCACCGGAGTTGACTGAGACAGGTCGCCTGCCCTATTTCACCACTGCAGTCATTATTTCTAAGCTAGTATAATTATTACAA